GTACCGGGAGATTCTGGTGGCAATATTGTGTTCTCAGCGGTGAAAATTCGAGGGGGAATCGCAGGCTCAGGTGGAGCAATTGTAGAAAGATAATTCAGAAGCATGTGGATTATTTGACTGAAATTAGGCCGAGCATTCGGGTCCTCCTTCCAGCATGAAGTTAGAATGATAGCCAATTCCTCGGGGAGGTTCTCTGCACTAGGCCTCACATTCTGAACCAGCAAAAACCCTCTCATATTAACACTTGCATTAGCAGAACCATGAAGGCATCCGAGAGTAACAAATGTATGAAAATATTTTATATAAGAACTACTTGAATACTGCATGAACAGAGAACAGATTATTACTTTGAAAGCGGCTGCATATGCTGCCTGGAGATTTGACATGCCTTCAAATGGCAGTTTGTTGTGCAAAAGTTCCCACAACACAATTGCAAAGCTATAGGCATCCACCTTATGGTTGTAATGCTTTTTTTCTCCCTGCCTTAACGTCACGGTACTGTATAACTGCCACCAAACAGAAGACAAATTGAGCATTACTTGTGATATAGTTGAAAGAAGAAGAAAGAGATAAGTTCTTGTTAGAAAAGAAAGAAAACCTCGGGGGCCATCCAGCGGTATGTCCCAGTTTCAGCAGTCATCATCTCAGTTAATGACTCTTCTCTTGCTAAGCCAAAATCTGCTAGTTTAACTGTTTTGTGGTCTGCTGTCAACAGTAAGTTTTCTGCATAAAATTTAAATATGAGTTCAAAACAAAACAAAAAACATTTCACTAAAAAAATATAAAACCACTGTAAAAAATAAAACAAAGAAAGGAACAAATTGAGCATTTTGCCCCTGTTTTAAACCTAGCTTTTTGTTTTTTATATTTTATTTTGTATTTTGGATAAAATAACAGAGAGCCTGGCTAAACTGTTCTAACCTAGTACTCTCTTTTAATTTTCAAGGAAAAGATGTATAATTTATTTCAAGCAATGATCTCAACAAACAGTTCATAAGTATTTTCCGAGTAACTCAACCAAATACTTGATGAAGTAGTACTGTGTTTGGCATGAATGAAGGAGAATTTATCACTGTTTCCAATTGAATGGATTCAATCAAAAGCTGAGATGTGATCTTTTAAATTTTGTTTGATAGATAACAAATCCAATTTCATGAAAGTTCAAGGTACCCACCAACTTTACTTCATCAGTGCTGATCATTAATTTCCATTGAACACATCATTAAAACCTTGCACCCAAAAGTCAACAGACTTGACCATACTTAATTAAGCCATATAATTAGATGATAACATGGTTAACTTGTAATAAGTAGTTGATTTTCTCGAACTCAAGGTCTTTAAAATGAGATATGTGGGAGAGTACAGTATTCTCACTTTTAAAGATCACCCTGGGGGACAGTGTGATGAGATAATGTGCCTTCCAATAATTTGAGACTTTCACTTACCTAGTCACACATTCAAAATTCAAAGACAAAGAGAAATAAGAGTGATTACCAGGTTTCAGATCACGATGTATGATTCCATGAGAATGCAAGCATTCCATTGCACGAGCAATATCAAGAGCAAAACCAATCGCAACACGCGCGTCTAAGCTCCTCGGCCTCATGTTCAGCAAGTATTTACGTAATGTCCCTCCCAATAACAGCTCAGTAACTATCACCATTACAGGCTCTTTACAGGCACCAATGAACTGTTGACAAACAAGAATTCAGCATTCAACATTGATCGCCTATCAATTGTATTTTTTACTGCAACTATAATTAACAAGAGATAAGAAGGATGACTATCCTAAGAGCCATGAAATCAAATCCAACCTTCACTAAATTTTTATGTTGGACTCTGGATAACATTGAAACCTCTCTTGCGAACCGCGCTTCTCGCTTAGCAATTTCCTCCGGAGTTTCTCCTTTATGGACAATTTTAACAGCGACAGTCTGGTTTTTATATCTGAAGGGAACACAACAAACTTAGTGAGATAACTGCAACACTACCCAGACACCAAGCTGTCAGTCTTAGTGTCCTCAGAAGTCAGATCTCTTGAAGCGCTTCAACCAGCTTCCATTGACAATAGTCAAACTTTAAATACAAATCTTTTCATTTTCAACAAAATGGAGGATTTTAGTTTTATAGATATGCAAAACCAATCAAAATTCCCAGAAAAGCCATCTCTGTGAATAAAAATCACGAAGACTACCAGTTGTAAAACACAAAAAGGGTACGGAGTTTCTGATTTTGTCCGAAACAGATCAAAACTTGCAAATTTAAACCCAGAAATAAGGTGGTAAAGTTGTCACTAGTGAAACCAAATAATGAAAGAAGAAAAACCATAATCTGAGACTTACTTTCCCTCGTACACTTTGGCATAAGCTCCCTCACCAATCCTTGGTCCAACAAAAAGATGTTTGGGATCAATTAGCCATTTTGCATCCAAATTGAACTCGTCAGCAGAGTAAAACCTACTCCCAGATTCCATACTTCTAAAACAAGAAACAATTTAACATCTACATATATGTATCTACACTAACAAAGAAAATGGAGTTGCCTTGAGGCATGTATGGTAAAAATCACACATGAGAGCAAAAAAAGAAAGCATTGAAAAGCTCATTCAGGCAGTGTATGGATAAGCTGACAAGAAAAACAGAAGTAAACATGACATGCTCTGTTGATAACCACATCTCAAGAATGAGAGGCAGAGATGTAAACTCATAGTTAGATGGGTAAAATGTCCAAGAGGAGGCAAAGGTAGGGAAGTCCACATGCAGTGTAAAGAGACAGAGTGACAAGAAAAACCAAAGAAAGCAAGAAAGAAAGCTCAAACCCCAAAAGAAATAAATAGAAAAATCATGGGGAAAAGAGAAGAATCCTCATAAAGGGGAGCACTGAAGAGAACCAATCAACAAAAGTATCAAGCGAGGAGGAAATAATATTTTAAAGAGAAAATGTAGAAGACATTAAGAAGGCAAAAAAAAAAAAAAAAAAGAGAAGATGGGTAGTAGATGGATTATAGAGTTATAAATAATGTTGAAGAGCACAGAGGTTGAGTGTCGATGTATAGACAGAATCATGGAAGGGATTGAGTTGAGTTAGAGAGAAGGAAAAAAGAAGAGATATTTATGAATAATGTAATAAAGACAGTGGGAGCCATAAACTAATGAAAAGCACACTATGCATATTAGTTTAGCCCTCTGATATGAGAAATAATATATTTTTAGTAGACGACATAGACAAATGAGCTGCACAATCTCAAGTCTGAGCTGCGTTGATACATTTTTAGATGCTCAATCCGTAAATAATAAGCAGTAATTTTTGTAGACATTAAATAGATTATCAATGCAGCAATAGTACTGTCTCTCAGTATGTTTTCATTTTCATGTTGGTCATTAGATCTGTTCCATGAATAAAATCAATCTCCTCTTTGAATTTCCCCATCATCCTTGTCAAAGTAAGGACCATAATTTTCAATCAATCTTAACTTTTTCACCTAATGAATTTCCAATGTCCAGGAAGTGTACAGTGATTTAGTCATTAAGATCAAGCATGAACCAGGAATAAATGAGGCAATGTGTTATTACAACTTCTTACAAAGGGTTGCAGCTGGAAAAACCCCGATCAAGTTACTTCCAGTTCCCCTCTCATTTTCTTACCATGAATTTGGGTTGAATTTCCATCATTTTGCAAGTTACAATCAAACGTCATAACTAAACCAATCTCAAGCTTCTAATTCACGATAATAAGCTATATGAGTCAAAACTATGATCTATTAAGTTAAAAAATTTAGCAACGACAGTATCAAGTAGACATAATGCAGCATTTTCATCTTGGCTTCAACTAAAATGTAAGATATTAATTTGAACTTTTGAGATGTTATCAAAATGTACCCAGTGGACTACAGCCTAGTGTTTCCTGCGCTCCCTGCAGGTATTCTTTACCCCAGGATGAACAATAGTTCCTCATAACTATTTATCACTACAGGGTTAATAGCACTGGTTGAAGCAGAAAAAGAAACTTTTCGGCTTGTTTTCCATATTAGCTTTAGGAGTTTCTCCAGTGTCATCACGTACTGCCATCAATGAGCTTGTACCGGGAGATTCTGGTGGCAATATTGTGTTCTCAGCGGTGAAAATTCGAGGGGGAATCGCAGGCTCAGGTGGAGCAATTGTAGAAAGATAATTAAGAAGCATGTGGATTATTTGACATGAAATTAGGCCGAGCATTGGGTCCTCCTTCCAGCATGAAGGTAGAATGATAGCCAATTCCTGGGAGGTCTCTGCACTAGGCCTCACATTCTGAACCAGCAAAAACCCTCTCATATTAACACTTGCATTAGCAGAAACATGAAGACACCGAGAGTAACTAATGTATGAAAATATTTTTATAAGAACTACTTGAATACTGCATGAACGAGAAACAGATTATTACTTTGAAAGCGGCTGCATATGCTGCCTGGAGATTTGACATGCCTTCAAATGGCAGTTGTTGTGCAAAAGTTCCCACAAACAATTGCAAAGGTATAGGCATCCACCTTATGGTTGTAATGCTTTTTTTCTCCCTGCTTAACGTCACGGGACTGTATAACTGCCACCAAACAGAAGCAATTAGCAGACTTATTGTGATATAGTTAAAGAAGAAGAAGAAGAGATAAGTTCTTGTTAGAAAAAAGAAAACCTCGGGGGCCATCCAGCGGTATGTCCCAGTTTCAGCAGTCATCATCTCTGTTAATGACTCTTCTCTTGGAAGATCTCCAAATAAAAAATGAACACTTTCTCCCGCCTTCTTTTTAGAGGATTCCTAGAATACTTAATAATTAATTAGTTTAAGGAATGAAGATATAACAAAAACGCGTGTATGTTTCGAAACGAGTGGATAAAAATCATGATAAGAAGTAAAAAATCATGCTTTTTATCTTAGAAAAAATCCTGTGCTTACTGAATAATTCAGTGGAAAACGCCTTAAATCTGAAGACACTCCCTTTTGCCTTTAGAATCGTTTTGTATATCAAGTGCAAAGCCTTCTTATAAACATTTCCCTTTGCACCTTACATACTCTGCTTCCTCACATTTCAGAAACTAACCCAAACAAAATGGCCTTTACACTTCATTACTTTCCCGCCAAAACAATAACAGCCATAACTACCATCACCCAGTTCCCTGAAAACCCTAAAACCCTTATCCTAAAACAATGCAAAACTACCAAAGACTTAAAACAAATCCACGCCCACTTAATAAAAACCCGTCTCCTTTTCAACCCCACCACCACCGAGAACCTTCTGGAATCTGCCGCCATACTCACTCCCGCCAGCTCCATGGACTATGCACTGTCCATTTTCCACAAAATTAAAGAACCTGATTCATCAGCTTATAACATCATGATCAGGGCCTTCACACTGAAGCAGTACCCTCAAGAAGCCGTGAATTTGTTCAAAAACATGTATGAAAACTCGGTACAACCTGATCACTTCACTTTCTCTGGTACATTAAAAGCTTGCTCCAGGTTAAGAGCATTGAAAGAAGGTGAAGAGATTCACGCCCAGATTGTGAAATCTGGGTTTGAGTTCAATGAATTAGTTTGTAATACTTTGATACATATGTATGCTAATTGTGGAAAAATAAAGTTTGCGCGTAAGGTGTTTGATGGAATGTCTCCTAAGGATGTTTTTACATGGAATTCAATGTTGTCGGGGTATGTTAAGAGTGAGTATTGGATGGAGACTGTAAATTTATTTAACGAAATGCGTGATTTGGGTGTTCGGTTTCATGAGGTTACATTGATTAGTGTTTTGACGGCTTGTGGAAGACTAGGTGATATCGAATTAGGAGAGTGGATTAGTGAGTATATAGAATTAAATGGGCTTAAAGGGAGTGTTAATTTAGTGACATCAGTTGTTGATATGTACGCAAAATGTGGTTATGTTGCCAAAGCCAGGAGATTGTTTGATCAGATGGATAGGAGAGATGTTGTTGCATGGAGTGCCATGATTTCCGGATATAGCCAAGCAAGGCAATGCAAGGAGGCACTTGATGTTTTTCATGATATGCAAATTGCAAATGTGGAGCCTAACGAGGTTACTATGGTCAGTGTACTTTCTTGCTGTGCTGTTCTTGGAGCTGTAGAAACTGGTAAATGGGTTCACCTTTATGTAAAGAAGAAAAAAATGGAGCTTACTGTTACCCTTGGAACTGCGCTAATTGATTTTTATGCAAAGAGTGGGCTTATAGAGGACGCGATTGAAATGTTTAAGCAGATGCCTGTGGAGAACGTCTTCACCTGGACTGTGCTAATTCAAGGCCTTGCTAATAATGGACAAGGAATAAGGGCTCTTGAGTTTTACCATTTGATGCGAGAAAAGAATATTGAGCCAAATGATGTGACTTTCATTGCCGTTCTTTCTGCTTGTTGTCATGTGGGAATGGTTGATGAGGGTCGGGGATTTTTTGTCAGTATGAGCAGAGACTTGGGTATTGAACCAAGGATGGAACACTATGGTTGCATGGTAGACATTCTTGGTCGAGCTGGGATGATTGAAGAGGCATATCAGTTCATAAAGAACATGCCCATCCAACCCAATGCTGTCATATGGAGAACATTGTTGGCTTCATGCAGAGTTCATAAAAATGTTGAAGTTGGAGAGCAATCATTGAAGAAACTAGTTCTATTGGAACCCATGCATAGTGGAGATTACATACTTCTATCCAATATTTATGCATCAGTGGGTAGATGGGAGGACGCGATGAGGGTAAGGAATGAGATGAGAGAGAAGGGAATAAAGAAGACACCTGGTTGTAGCTTGATTGAATTGGACGGAGAGATTTATGAATTCTTTGCTGAAGATAATGTGTGTTCACATTCTAAGGAGATATATAAAGCAGCTGAAAACATGATCAAAAAGATAAAATCAGCTGGCTACATACCCAACAAGGCAGATGCAAGACTAGATGCTGAAGAAGACGACAAGGAAGCTGCAGTAGCTCACCATAGTGAGAAATTGGCTATTGCCTTCGGTCTTATCAAAACTCCTCCGGGAACTACAATCAGAATTTCGAAGAATCTTCGAGTGTGTACAGATTGCCACAATGCAACAAAGATAATATCAAAGGTATTTAATAGAGAAATTATAGTTAGGGATCGGAATCGATTTCATCATTTTAAAGAGGGATTTTGTTCCTGCAATGACTACTGGTAAATGCACATTCTAGTTATGTCAGTAAACCATGCATATTTAGTTTAGCCCTCTGATATGAGAATAATATATTTTTAGTAGACGACATAGACAAAGTGAGCTGCACAATCTCAAGTCTGAGCATGTGTTGATACATTTTCAGATGCTCAATTCCGTAAATAATAAGCAGTATATTTTTGTAGACATTAAAAAGATTATCAATGCAGCAATAGTACTGTCTCTCAGTATGTTTTCATTTTCATGTTGGTCATTAGATCTGTTCCATGAATAAAATCAATCTCCTCTTTTGAATTTCCCAATCATCCTTGTCAAAGTAAGGACCATAATTTTCAATCAATCTCTCAACTTTTTCACCATAATGAATTTCCAATGTCCAGGAAGTGTACAGTGATTTAGATCATTAAGATCAAGCATGAACCAGGAATAAATGAGGCAATGTGTTATTACATACTTCTTACAAAGGGTTGCAGCTGGAAAAACCCCGTATCAAGTTACTTCCAGTTCTCCCTCTCATTTTCTTACCATGAATTTGGGTTGAATTTCCATCATTTTGCAAGTTACAATCAAACGTCATAACTAAACCAATCTCAAGCTTCTAATTCACGATAATAAGCTATATGAGTCAAAACTATGATCCTATTAAGTTAAAAAATTTAGCAACGACAGTATCAAGCCGACATAATGCAGCATTTTCATCTTGGCTTCAACTAAAATGTAAGATATTAATTTGAACTTTTGAGATGTTATCAAAATGTACCCAGTGGACTACAGCCCTAGTGTTTCCTGCGCTCCCTGCAGGTATTCTTTTACCCCCAGGATGAACAATAGTTCCTCATAACTATTTATCACTACAGGGTTAATAGCACTGGTTGAAGCAGAAAAAGAAACTTTTCGGCTTGTTTTCCATATTAGCTTTAGGAGTTTCTCCAGTGTCATCACGTACTGCCATCAATGAGCTTGTACCGGGAGATTCTGGTGGCAATATTGTGTTCTCAGCGGTGAAAATTCGAGGGGGAATCGCAGGCTCAGGTGGAGCAATTGTAGAAAGATAATTCAGAAGCATGTGGATTATTTGACTGAAATTAGGCCGAGCATTCGGGTCCTCCTTCCAGCATGAAGTTAGAATGATAGCCAATTCCTCGGGGAGGTTCTCTGCACTAGGCCTCACATTCTGAACCAGCAAAAACCCTCTCATATTAACACTTGCATTAGCAGAACCATGAAGGCATCCGAGAGTAACAAATGTATGAAAATATTTTATATAAGAACTACTTGAATACTGCATGAACAGAGAACAGATTATTACTTTGAAAGCGGCTGCATATGCTGCCTGGAGATTTGACATGCCTTCAAATGGCAGTTTGTTGTGCAAAAGTTCCCACAACACAATTGCAAAGCTATAGGCATCCACCTTATGGTTGTAATGCTTTTTTTCTCCCTGCCTTAACGTCACGGTACTGTATAACTGCCACCAAACAGAAGTCAAATTGAGCATTACTTGTGATATAGTTGAAAGAAGAAGAAAGAGATAAGTTCTTGTTAGAAAAGAAAGAAAACCTCGGGGGCCATCCAGCGGTATGTCCCAGTTTCAGCAGTCATCATCTCTGTTAATGACTCTTCTCTTGCTAAGCCAAAATCTGCCAGTTTAACTGTTTTGTGGTCTGCTGTCAACAGTAAGTTTTCTGCATAAAATTTAAATATGAGTTCAAAACAAAACAAAAAACATTTCACTAAAAAAATATAAAACCACTGTAAAAAATAAAACAAAGAAAGGAACAAATTGAGCATTTTGCCCCTGTTTTAAACCTAGCTTTTTGTTTTTTATATTTTATTTTGTATTTTGGATAAAATAACAGAGAGCCTGGCTAAACTGTTCTAACCTAGTACTCTCTTTTAATTTTCAAGGAAAAGATGTATAATTTATTTCAAGCAATGATCTCAACAAACAGTTCATAAGTATTTTCCGAGTAACTCAACCAAATACTTGATGAAGTAGTACTGTGTTTGGCATGAATGAAGGAGAATTTATCACTGTTTCCAATTGAATGGATTCAATCAAAAGCTGAGATGTGATCTTTTAAATTTTGTTTGATAGATAACAAATCCAATTTCATGAAAGTTCAAGGTACCCACCAACTTTACTTCATCAGTGCTGATCATTAATTTCCATTGAACACATCATTAAAACCTTGCACCCAAAAGTCAACAGACTTGACCATACTTAATTAAGCCATATAATTAGATGATAACATGGTTAACTTGTAATAAGTAGTTGATTTTCTCGAACTCAAGGTCTTTAAAATGAGATATGTGGGAGAGTACAGTATTCTCACTTTTAAAGATCACCCTGGGGGACAGTGTGATGAGATAATGTGCCTTCCAATAATTTGAGACTTTCACTTACCTAGTCACACATTCAAAATTCAAAGACAAAGAGAAATAAGAGTGATTACCAGGTTTCAGATCACGATGTATGATTCCATGAGAATGCAAGCATTCCATTGCACGAGCAATATCAAGAGCAAAACCAATCGCAACACGCGCGTCTAAGCTCCTCGGCCTCATGTTCAGCAAGTATTTACGTAATGTCCCTCCCAATAACAGCTCAGTAACTATCACCATTACAGGCTCTTTACAGGCACCAATGAACTGTTGACAAACAAGAATTCAGCATTCAACATTGATCGCCTATCAATTGTATTTTTTACTGCAACTATAATTAACAAGAGATAAGAAGGATGACTATCCTAAGAGCCATGAAATCAAATCCAACCTTCACTAAATTTTTATGTTGGACTCTGGATAACATTGAAACCTCTCTTGCGAACCGCGCTTCTCGCTTAGCAATTTCCTCCGGAGTTTCTCCTTTATGGACAATTTTAACAGCGACAGTCTGGTTTTTATATCTGAAGGGAACACAACAAACTTAGTGAGATAACTGCAACACTACCCAGACACCAAGCTGTCAGTCTTAGTGTCCTCAGAAGTCAGATCTCTTGAAGCGCTTCAACCAGCTTCCATTGACAATAGTCAAACTTTAAATACAAATCTTTTCATTTTCAACAAAATGGAGGATTTTAGTTTTATAGATATGCAAAACCAATCAAAATTCCCAGAAAAGCCATCTCTGTGAATAAAAATCACGAAGACTACCAGTTGTAAAACACAAAAAGGGTACGGAGTTTCTGATTTTGTCCGAAACAGATCAAAACTTGCAAATTTAAACCCAGAAATAAGGTGGTAAAGTTGTCACTAGTGAAACCAAATAATGAAAGAAGAAAAACCATAATCTGAGACTTACTTTCCCTCGTACACTTTGGCATAAGCTCCCTCACCAATCCTTGGTCCAACAAAAAGATGTTTGGGATCAATTAGCCATTTTGCATCCAAATTGAACTCGTCAGCAGAGTAAAACCTACTCCCAGATTCCATACTTCTAAAACAAGAAACAATTTAACATCTACATATATGTATCTACACTAACAAAGAAAATGGAGTTGCCTTGAGGCATGTATGGTAAAAATCACACATGAGAGCAAAAAAAGAAAGCATTGAAAAGCTCATTCAGGCAGTGTATGGATAAGCTGACAAGAAAAACAGAAGTAAACATGACATGCTCTGTTGATAACCACATCTCAAGAATGAGAGGCAGAGATGTAAACTCATAGTTAGATGGGTAAAATGTCCAAGAGGAGGCAAAGGTAGGGAAGTCCACATGCAGTGTAAAGAGACAGAGTGACAAGAAAAACCAAAGAAAGCAAGAAAGAAAGCTCAAACCCCAAAAGAAATAAATAGAAAAATCATGGGGAAAAGAGAAGAATCCTCATAAAGGGGAGCACTGAAGAGAACCAATCAACAAAAGTATCAAGTGAGGAGGAAATAATATTTTAAAGAGAAAATGTAGAAGACATTAAGAAGGCCCAAAAAAAAAAAAAAGAAGGTGGGTAGTAGATGGATTATAGAGTTATAAATAATGTTGAAGAGCACAGAGGTTGAGTGTCGATGTATAGACAGAATCATGGAAGGGATTGAGTTGAGTTAGAGAGAAGGAAAAAAGAAGAGATATTTATGAATAATGTAATAAAGACAGTGGGAGCCATAAACTAATGAAAAGCACATGGAAACTGATCTTGTCAAATATGTGGACAACCCATTCTCACTCAATTACAAAATTTACAGATTGCCTATTAACCTATCTCTCTCTCAGCTTCATCTCTTACATGACATATTTCATTGATGACCATCTTCACTCTACTAAAAACATACACATTTGAGAGAGGCAGTCCTTCCAGCCGTTCATTTTAACATTACTTGTAACATTGTGTTGATGCTTGATTTTTTACACCAACTATTTACACGTGTGAAGTGCTAGACGGACTTAGAAATCACACGTGCAATATGAGTGCAAAATGAGAGATAGAGCAGGTAATAATTTTTAAAGTGGTTTGGATGATCTAAGGCAAATCTTACATCCACTGTGGTTATATTAATGGTTGATAACAATCAGGTCTCATTCGACAAGTTGAATTATAATAGAGAAGATAAATGAATGTAAAGAGAGAGAGAGGAAGAGAGAGTATGCGTTTTAAGTGGTGGAAGAGCCAATCCTATAAAATAGAGGAGAGCCCTCTATTTATAGTTGTAGGATTCAAGCTGGTAATCATGATTCTGCGTGCAGATAGATGTAGTACAATTCCTAACCCCTTTTCCATTGGTTGTCTGTACGAGAGATATCTTTAAATCGCATATGGTTTCAACAGATAGGCAATTCTCAGCCACTCATAGGCTTGGCATTCACCTGTCTTATTGATGATAACTTCACCCCTCTCGTCCTTGCGGGACGTGACTACATCTAGACAACAGAAAACCTTTCCAAATTCTGATTGATTTCTGCTGATGCGTGCTTACGGCAGCACTGGTTCTTGGGCATAAGACATTGAAAATTAGGTAAGAGACGAGCTCATGTTTTTTAGTATGAGCAATGGCCCTCTGCGGCTTGTGTAGTGTAATTAACACTTAAAAAGCTGCTTATCTATAGTCAAATATGAATAAAATAAAAAGTGATTAGGTAAAAGAGAATGCGACTGTCCCATATTATATTGAATTTTGAGCCTATAAAATTGTTTTAAGTATATAACCTAATAAAATAATTTTTTAGTCCGTGATACACTGATACCTCTCGGGTCTATTACATTATAATAAGGTCAAGGTCTAAAACAAAAAAACAATTAGGAAAATTACTGTGAATTAATTAACTAAAGACTGAACAGTGAACAGAACACCATTAAATTAAGCTACTCTAGCTTAACCAATAAGTTTCATAGCCGACAATTTGTGGCGTGGTACGAACCCTGCACAACCATAAGCATTGATATTACTAATTTCTAATTTAAAAGAAAAAAAAAAAAATTATCAACTCAACATCGACCTTGACATCGACAAGAAATATATAAACATGCACTGAAACATAAAAGTTATATATATATATATATATTTACCAAGTTAATTAGGTCCAAAATACCAAACAACATTAAAGAACATTAAGTCCGAGAAGTTCACTGGGAATTCTATCATCTAAATGCATAACATGTTCGTTATATTTATTGATAATATTTACTACTTAACACAGCTTAAAGAGTCTTCTTCAGCTCAGCCTTCTCCCCAGTCAGAAGATCCATCACAACACGCTTGATACTTCCATTGTTCTTCTTGAGCAGCCTCTTGTTCATTTCTTCATCACAGAATCCCTGCAACCACAATCAAACCTACATTTCACTCAAATCTATTTCAACTCCAAGACAGAGCAACTTCAAACCACTTAGGATAAAAATGACAGTAAGGACTAGTAATAATAAAAGGGAAAACAAGGCAATCCTACAATTCATCACAGTTTTTAAGTATAACTCACCATCTCCTGCAACTCAAGCATTGGATCCCACTCCGAAACACCACAGAGATCATCCACAGATTGCTCCAAGTCGTACTCGTTCTTCCTCAAGATCTCCTTGTTTAAATCAATCTGCTTGAAGCCCATCTCCTCAAGCTCCTTGAGCAGAGTCTGCTCAACAGCATCTTTATCACTGATCTCCTCAGATAATGTTGGCACACTTGCAAGAGGGGTTGATGAATAAGAGGCCTCAGCTAGGTCCGCATCAGTGAGATCAATAATGGGATATGACACAGATGATGGAGCCTGTGGAGGTGGCAAAGCAGAAGCTGATCGACCATCACCAACCAGCAAGCTATCATTTATAGGGAAATTCTCCTCCTTTGACTGTTCATCAACCACTGGTTTTACTGGTTCAATGACTGGGTAAGAGTTGCTAGGCCCCTGCAAACCTCCATCCACAATGGGCTGAACATTCATATCTATAATTTCAGGGTTTTTGTGCCAATTGCTCTCAGGAGGCAAATTCAAGTTCAAGCCTTGAAAGCTAACACCATTGCCATCCTTCAGAGACCCATCAACCTGTAAGGAAGAATAAGAAATTACAATAAGGTATTCAATTTAACTTCATATCATTTAAACAGAGATGAAGATGCTTCTTAAGTGCCAGCAATACCTGGATAAGAACCCACACACGTTGCCCAAATTTCAAACCGGAAGGTGACGCCACCCTCCAGTAGGAGATATAACGACCAGGCAACTCAGGTGCAGTAAAATCAACTGATATCTCAAGCTCATCTTCCACAGGCAAACCATCAGCAGGAACCTGCAATAAATTGAAAATATTACAAAAACCTATTCCAATGCTGAGAAATTGTTTCAATTGATAGCAAAGGGACTAGACAACATTTCCAGAATGCAAAAAATTAAAAATTCCTACCTTTATATCAACTGAAACTGCATCACTAAACCTATCTCCCCCAATCCACATGAGTTGTGTTCCCTGGGGCCACACTTGAGTACCATTATTGCGCATCCGCCATATCTTAGTGAATGGAGTGGATGGGGCCATTGTAGTCCCATCCGACACATTGACATCCATAATGAACCGACTGTCTAACTTTGGCCCACCTTCCTTGATTCCAAAACCTCTCAGGATATGAGGTGGTGTTGGGATATGAGGTGGTGTTGGGATACCATTATGTGGTGTTGTGGGAATACCACACCCATAATTCTGTCTCTACAAAATCATAGGGGAAAAAAAAAAAAAACTCAAATCAAAAATAAATACAAGAGAAGAATTGAGTAAAGAAATAGATTCACTGAATATACATACATGATCATATGACCCTTTGAAAGGTCTTGGAAGTCGATAATATAAAGGCTTATCCAATCGAATGTAATCATTCTCATTGCCCATTGCCGCGAAGCAGACACTGCACAGATCATAATCATCTTTCCTGTAAAAGCATAACAAAGATTAACATACATACAGAACTTTCATTACAAACCAATAATCAACCTTTAAACATATTTCTTACACTTTTGACTTGAATCGAGGTCCAGTAATGGGATGAACACCACAACCATCACATTGGATGCCCCTATGGAACGTACCAACCATGGCATTGCGAATCATGTTCAACTGACTAATGCGACGGTGCCGATAAGTACCAGTTGAGTCGTTTACAACAGGAGTTCCACTAAATGGACACTCATTAGAAGCATTACCACCCAAACACATGGCATGGGGTTGATCCACGTCAGAAGGCCTTGTTGTATCAGCTGAACTTATTGGTGCAACAGAAACAGCAGACTTGCCACTGTCTTGACTGCCGATATTCTTTGTCTCATTCCTATCAAAGGTAGCTAGAATATCAGAGACATTTGCCGCAAAGCTCACATTTGAGCTTCCAGAGGGAACTGAACCAATCTGTGGGATCGTATTCAGGTTAACAGCAGGTGCCCATACTCCTACCGGATTTCCAACATCACACTCTTGGCTACTTATAGCATTGAGGTCTACGGGGGTTGAATTTGGCAATACTTCTCTCAGGCCACCACCCCTTGGTGCATTTGGATCTTTAGGAACTGAAGAAGCTACATCGCTTTCAGATGCCTTAGTCTGTCCACTTGACTCTGCATCTGCTTGAGACTGGGAAACTTGATTCAGCTGAGGAATACCCAGCTTCAAAAAGCACTCAGCAAGATCTGCAAAAATTGGACTTGAGGATGCAGCCTTTGAAGCAAAATCAACAGATAGCTTTGACAGTGTTTCAAGCAGCGGCTCTGGCACCGATTTCAATACTTCAGCAACCTTATTGTTAATGTCAGGTAATGGATGCTGGGCTCGAGGGGATCTCAAGGGAGTAGAACTTCCACCTGATCTTGTAATAGCTTTCCCTGATTTTTCATTCTTCAGCTGTACATCAATTCTCAAGAATTTGAGACGTTGCTTCATCACATCAAGCATGTCATTGTCATCAACAAGAGTTACTATGTCACCATCTTCATCAATGTATGTCAGCCTAAGATCAGCATCAGGAGGAAAATTAAAAAGACCTATGATCTTCGCCCTTAATCCATCAATATCAAGATCCATCTTCTCATTTTCGTCAACGCTAACATTAAAGCGCCTAAGTGTATCTCCATATTTAACCTGTAGAGAGTTCACCAAAAGCTTAATCTTAATCACACAGGGACAATTATCAGCTATGTATGCAAGAGTACATATGAGCACCAAAGAAAGAAATAGGAAGCATATCAGGATACCACATCTAGCATGCAGAACAAAAATATTGAAACAATTTAAGTAGACCAGTGAATAAGCAAGGAGGCATATCATCAAATATATGCACAAGAACTGTTAAAATAATATTATTATTTCACTCTTCAAAAAGTTGCAAAACCATGGAGACTTGAGGCATTGTCCATGTCACCATCCAAAATAGAAAAGTGGAAAACATTAGACATGCAATCAGTGCTTTGCACGGTTATGGGTTACCCATCCTTCGGAGAAAGCTATTTGCCTTCATTTAATTCAAAGCTTAAGAAATTAAGAGAATAAGATATTTGCCTAATTCAAAGCTTAAGAAATTAAGAGAAAAAGATATTTGCCTTCGTTTAATTCAATGCTTAAGAAATTAAGAGAATACAACTGCAGTACTTTACTCTTGTGAAAATTTCAAGCATTATTGCATTTGCATTTCAGTTTACAATTAATTCATCTTGCACCCCTTTTTCTCTTTATAGAAGAGAGCATATTTTAGATAGCAGTTTTACAGCAGAAGTGATCACATATAAAATACCGAACACACTAAAAATTTTCTAATATCAAATAATTCAATTAACCTAACAAGAGTTTATCAGCAAAAAGAAAATAATAAATAATAATAATAATTTCTCACTCAAACATGATCGATATAATTTAATCATCAAAGCATAATAATATTAAGGCTTTAGAAGAGCTAAACGGAGATATCCATCGGTCAGAGCATCTCCACCAGAGAAATTAAAAGTCGATAAAAATAACATCACGCCCATTCCAATTACACAGTAAAATAAATTCTCTACACCCAGAAACATGAACCACCCAAATAAATTTAATTTAATTTTCAAAATCAATCAGACAAAAAGGTGAACTACAATCGAAAACCTAAAACTCATAAATTTAAATAAAAGAACCCAAAAATCGAACCTTGATAACCATAGTAGACTCCATCGCCACAGAAACTTAGAAGTCTCTTCTCGCGAACCAGACAGTAAATAAAACCAAACCAAACCAGCTTTCTAAAATAAATACAAAAAAACCCTAACCCTAATTAACCTCAATCAGAGTTCGATCAAAAGTTAAATTGATGAAACATTCAAACTTGAAATCGGAATAGATTAAAAAGAGATATTGGATTTAGATAGCGAAACCCGATTTTAGCGCTCTCTCTCACACACTCAAAACAAAAATATAAAATAAAATTATGTGAAAATTTTGCCCAGTGCATTCGTGTGCGGTACTATTTTATATAGGGATTTTTGGGTTTGGGTTTGGCTTTGGATTTGGCTTTGGCTTAGCCGATAAGAAAGACGTTTTATTTTCTTCTTCCCAAAGAAAGAGAACTTGTGCGAGAAGGGGCCGAATAATTGATCACTTTTTATAATCTACATGCACGACCATCGTAAGTAGTTTTATGTCACGGGTTTTGGCTGACTTGGATCAATAATGTTTTGCCACGTTATATGATGTAGATTTGGTTTGGTGGAGTTTGACACGGGTAATTATAATGTTGATGGGAATCCAATGGTTGAAAATTATAGGAGTTCTAGTACAGCCTTTACACGTGATTCAACTTATCTAGATATCTATAAAAAAGAAAATTTTCAAAAACTTACCCCAAGTTTAGTGAGACATCAAGAACCACCTAAACGGTTGTGAAACTAACAATGATCTACCGATCTTTGGTCATCAAACTTTAACATTTGCAATGTATAATGAAAGTTATCTTGGAGAAATTAATGAAGATGTTTGTTTCATGTTTTAGTAGTGTAGTGTCATTAAATTACTTAAAGTTGAAGTGTTAATTTTGGGTGTTAGAGAACCATTGTCAAATCCAATTATAAATGCTGACAATAAATAAGGTAATGGTAAGGAAGAAGATGTCTTTGAAGCTTTGGCTTGTTGACACTAACTACTATTACATTCTAAATTGTTCCTCTTGGAGCTTCTAACTTTTGGACATAAGAAATTCACAATTTCTAACCCCAAGGGGTTGTTCATGTGGTTAATAAGTTTTGTTGATGTCACTTATCACATTTGTGATTTACTTTGGAACATTGGGTTTGTAAGATACTCAATAGGTCCTAGGAAAACTGGCTTGAACACCCCGATCAATAAAAAAAAAAAAAAATCACAATTTCTAGGTAGTTTATTTTTTTGTTGGGTAAGCAAGCTTTCAATAGAAAATGGAAAAGAATGTACAGAAAGGCCTACAACAGGCAGCCAACTTACCTCAGGACAAACCCCTAGGTTAAGACAAAAAACAATAGCCTAGACAATACTAAAAGCTACACAAAATCTCGATCAACCATGGGACATCCTACCACTAGACAAACCCTAGGTTAGGACAAAAAATAATAGCCTATACAAGACCAAGACAAAAAGGATGTCTTTACCTACCATAGGACAAGCCTTGGGTTAGGAGAGAAAAACAAAACAAACACTGAAAAGCAAGAAAATCACCAATTCTTGCCTCGGGACAAGCCTTGGGCTAGGAATAGACAAGAACTGAACAAAAGCTAAAAAAAGCCCAATAAAGAAAAAAAAACCACAAAACACCACCCCTCTTGTTTATCTATCTTAATTAAGAAATTAAGATAGGAAACAAGAAAGGAAATCACCAAAAACCAACTCCATAGTCACCCACTAAAGAAAGCCGAGAGTCCTATAGCCTACCTAGACACCTGCGCCTGCGAGAGAGGGGCCAGAGAGGCTTACTATTTGTAGGCATAGGCCCAACATCGTATCTATGACTTTTGTCGCTCATCACTCAGAAATATTAACTTGAACCACCTCCCTATGGCCTGCCTTAACCATCCTGTCAGATTTTGAGATTGAAGGTGGCAAAAGGGACAGAAGACTGCCGAAGAATGCCTACAAGAAAGCTTGATAAAGAGGGCAGAAATGAAGGTCAAAGAATATCAAGCAAAGAGAGAAATTTGTATTTATATTGTGTATTCTGTAATGTGTACATTGGCCAATTTATAGTGGCTTTGAATACAATAAGGAGAGGAAATAATACTGTAAAGGAAAAACAATAAACTCTTAATTACAAAATATTACAATCAATCAAATCAATGACTGCTTGATTCCAGTATGGATATCCTCAACATTCCATATTTCATCACTCCCCCTCAAGTTGGTGGTTTGTAGATATCGAAAACCCCAAGCTTGCGTAATAAATAAGAATGTTGACGACTACACAAAGGCTTTGTGAATATGTCCGCTGGTTGTTCTGATGTTCGTATGTGCCTAGTCCTGATAATCCCTTCCTAAATTTTCTCCCTGACAAAATGACAGTCAATTTCTATGTGTTTAGTTCTTTCATGGAAAACTAGATTTGTCGCGATATCAATAGCAACTTTGTTATCGCAGTACAGAGTGACTGGTTTTCCTGTTTTTACTCCCAAGTCTTTGACTAATCCAAGAATCTAGACAATCTCACAAGTTGTTTTTGCCATTGCTCTATATTCTGCTTCAGCTGAAGAAAGTGATATTGTTGTTTGCCTTTTTGTTTTCCATGATATAAGAGATCCTCTAATTTTAATGCAAAATCCTATAAGAGACTTTCTGCCTTTCTGGTCATAGGACAAGTACCCCAATCTGAATCGTAGTAAGCTGTGATGTCGAAATTCCCATCTCGAGGTAAGAGAAGTCCTAATCCAGGATATCCTTTTAAACATTTAAGTACCTTGATTGCTGCGTCCATATGGGATTGTTTGGGTTGATGCATGAATTGACTTAGTATGAGGACTGCATAACTTATGTCAGGCCTTGTCATGGTGAGATAGATAAGTCCTCCTACGAGTCTCTGGTAGGGAGATGGATCTTGTAACAGAGGGTCAGTTTCTATAGAGGCTGTCTCACAGTCATATTATTGTGATGTGAGTTTGATGTTTTGTTCCACAGGAATGATGCTGGGTTTGCATGCTGATAAACTAGAGTCGGATACAAGTTCTAAAACATATTCCTGTTGACTTAGAGAAATACCTGCGGGGATCGTGCAGTCTCAATGCTCAAGAAATATTTTGGTTCCCCCAGATCTTTTATACGGAAATGTTTGTTGAGATGTTCTTTTAGGGTGCGAATGCTACTCTCATCGTTCCCAGTGATTAAGATATCATCAACATAAATAATAAGAGCAATGACAGTGGTACCTTTGTGCCATGTGAAGAGAGAGTAATCATGCTTGGATTGAGTGAATCCCATATTAGTTAGAGCCTCTGTGAATTTTGCGTTCCATTGACATGATGCTTGCTTCAAACCATATAAGGACTTGCGTAGACGACATACCATATTCTCCCCCTGTCTACGAAGTCCGGGAGGAAGGTCCATATAAGTTTCTTCATGAAGATCTCCGTGGAGAAAGGCATTATGGACATCTATTTGGTGAAGGGACTAATCACGGATGGCAGCAATGGACAAGAAGGTCTGAACAGTAACATGCTTGGCTACTGGAGAAAATGTGTCTTGGTAATCAAAACCTTCTCTCTGGGTGAAACCTTTGGCAACGAGACAAGCCTTGTAACGCTCAATGGAGCCATCAGCACGGTGCTTGACCTTGTAAACCCATTTGCAACCAATGGGTTTCCTATGAGAGGGACGAGGAACAAGATCCCAGGTGTGATTCTGAGAGAAGGCATTGACTCATCGGCCATGGCCTGACGCCAATGTGAATGGGAAACAGCTTCAGAGTAACATGATGGTTCCTGGTGTGCAGAAATCTGACTAATGCAAATCCTGTGGGCAGGGGACAGTCGATCATAAGTAACATAGTTGGAAGTAGGGTAAGTAGTACCTGTGGTAGGTTGGAGGGTAGGACAAACATAGTCATCTGTCCAAACAGGTGGGTGAGTGACCCTTGTGGAACGTCTCTGAGGAGGGGCAGGAACAATGGGTGTATTGTCCAATGGAGGTGGACCAGGAAACTGGTTCGCTGGAGATGAAGTAGGAGAAGGACCAAGAAGTTGTGTCTCTGCAGAAACTGGTTCAGAGGTGGATTGGGAGGGTCCCATGTTTAGAACGGGTTGCATGGTATAATAGGGGTTGGACAAGTCTGTTGTGGAAGTATCTTCGAAAAAAATGGAAGACTGTTGGGAGTCGTCAGAGGGGGACCTGTCTAAAAAAGGAAAATAATCTTCATGAAAAACCACATCCTTAGAAACCAGGAAGTTCTCTGCGGTGAGATCATATAGGTGATAACCTTTCTGATGCATTAGGTAACCCATAAAAACACAGGGAATAGCCCGAGGAGAAAATTTATCATTCCCCCTTAAATTTGTAGAGTAACATAGACACCCAAATACTCGGAGATGACCAACTGTAGGTGGTTTACCAAAAAGTACCTCATAAAGTGTCTTACCATCTAGAGTCCGACTCGGCATTCTATTGATCAGGTAGGTGGCCGTGACCACACATTCGCCCCAAAGGGTAGTAGGGATGTTGGCTTGGTGTTTAAGGGCACGGGCGACCTCTAAAAGATGTCGATGTTTTCGTTCAACTATGTCATTCTGTTGAGGGGTATAGACACAGGAGCTTTCATGGATAATACCAAGAGAGGAAAAAAGTTTCGAACATTGGGTGTTGAAAAAATCTATAGCATTATCTGTCCGGACTCGTTGAACTGAAACATCAAATTGGGTTTTGACCATGGACAAGAAATGTCTGATATGAGTGAGTGTTTGGGTTTTAGAGTGCATGAGGTAGACCTAGGTTCCCCGAGAGTAATCATCTACAATGGTAAGAAAATATCTAGAGCCATTATGATTGGCTGTGTGATATGGACCCCATATGTCCATATGAATTAAGGAAAAGGTACGGTTTGTGGAAGGCATGTGGAAAATTTTGTGCGGGACTGTTTTGCGAAAGGGCAAATGAGACAATTAGGTTGTGGCATAGATGCACTATGACCCAGGCGTTGATGCAAAATAAAAGAAGTTTTATTAATGTTAAAAAAACTGTTACAAGACATTGAAGTTTTAGCATCAGGAGCACCTATCCAATAATAAAGGCCTTGGTGAACTTTACCCGAGCCCATCGGTTTCCCAGTCAAACGGTCTTGAAATTCACATTTGTTAGGAAAAAATTTTAAGAGACAGACATTATCTTGATAAAGTTTCGAAACAGAGATGAGATTGAACCGGAAAATAGGAACAAAGAAGACATTATGAAGAATTAAATGTTTATTTAGACGAACAGTTCCTAATTGGGTAGCTGGTGCATGTGTCCCATTTGGCATGCGGACTGATGTGTAGGGTATGGGAAATATTTTTGAAAAATGCTTGGGA